CTCCTTCAGGTGGGCAGCAGCTGCACAGGGAACCTTGGAGGTCGCGTCTTGAGAATAAAGAGAGGAAGTGGGAGGAGTTTCATTGCTTTAATTCTCAGGTAGATTCTGATCGCTGTACACAACCGTCACACCTAAACGGATTCCTATCAATGCGCATCCCCCCCGTCCCCCCGTCCCTCCCCCAGGCCGACGCTCATGAGACCTCGGTGAGTTTACAAAGTCCTCAGTCAGTATGATTTAAACGTAAACCTGAAGGTTTCAAAGATGAACTGAGATGTTTGTTTCATCAAGTAAAACTCCAAAGAATCTTTCACACAAAGTCAAACATTTACAGACGTAAATACATGCGGCTGATTTGTTTTCCGTAATTTATGAAACACAAATTCTTACACAGAATTAAACGTCAAGGTGAGTTTCCAAAAAATATCAAACTGAGAAAAAACAACTCACAAAGCAAAAACTTTAAATTAATGAAACTTTAGAAATGACAGCTCAACAAAAACATTTAATTCATATAATAGTGTAACCGCATCAAAGTTAAATCTGTAGAATCAGAGACTTTTCTCTGAGATTTTTACAGAGAAATGACTCGAAATAAACTCTGAATTAAGTGTTTTACAGTAGAGGTTTTTCTATAGTACAAAAAAACATTCTTACGGCGACATTAAAGCCGTTTGAATGAATTTTCATGAATTTAATTCACATGAGCACAAAAATAGTCTTTATTTAGACTACGTGTCAAAGAAGCAGAGAACATGCAATAATAAGAGATGAAATGACCTAAACAATAAGAGCTCTCATCCGACTGCTCCTGTTTCTACTTCCTGTCCTCCAGCTTTTATTTTGGAGAGTAAAATGTAAATACAGTTGGACATGAGATTATTCTCAATTATTTAAAATCTCGCTCCAAATAAACTGGTTTTTAAACAGATTCCGTAAAAGCTGATTATTTTTTTTAACAATGAACCTCATAAACGCAATAACGTTTTAGTAAACAAACATTAAAATGAAACATTGATCGTTGATCAGTTTGATGAAGCACAGCAATCATTTATCTTCAGATAACGAACATAACGGCTAACAAATACTTATTTAGTAGTAGTATTCATTCCTTTTGTCCTTGAAGTGTTGAAGGATTTATTGTAGTGATGCTTTAATCACAGATTTATTGATCACTGCGGCTTCGATTAAAACCATTTCTCTTGGTTTCTCTGACTGATAAAACACGTTAAACTTAAAAACACACACAACAATAAATAAAGCTTATTTTGTATAAAATGACTTCAAGTTAAAGTAATTCTAACATTAGTCTTTGTACGCTTTACAAATATCCTCCACTGAGTATTTACACTTTAGTTTGCGTTCCTGAGCTCGACGACGGTCCAGGTGTGTGTGTGTGTGTGTGTGTGTGCGTGTGCGTGTGCGTTACAGGTAAGGCTCTCCAAACGTCCTGCGGCACTCCATGACCCCGGTGCCGGGGGGGCGGTCACAGTTGTGGGTCAGCTTCACCAGAGCCGGCGGCAGGCGGTCGTACGCGGACTTGTACTCGCGGTCGAAGGCGTCTGAGGGACGGAGAGAAGAGGCGTGAACTCTTGTGTCCGTCCTTCAGAGGACGAACACAGAGGCTCTGAGCTGCCTGCTTATTCTGCCCCCTTGTGGCCAAAACACAGCGTTAAAAGGTTCATTCTTGAAGTAGTTTTTCTTTAGATCAAACTATTTAAACCACAGACAGTGATTGATACACGTATTCGCCTTAATGATCATAAAAACGTGGATGACTCACCGATGTCGATGTTGTCTTTCCCCAGAGCCACCAGGGAGAGGAAGAGGACGTCTCGGTACAGACTCCTGAGGGACGGAGAGTCCAGGTTACCAGACAGTTACTAACCAGCTGCTAGGTGACGGCTGGCACTAACTAGCTGACCTCTGCCGTTTGACCCCCAGCGTGTTCGCCAGCAGCTGCAGCAGCTGCGCCATCGGCCGGCCCACGTCGTTCCTCTGGATGCTCCTCACCACGCTGTGCAGCAGCTCCTCGCTGAGCGGCTTCTCCTCCTCGGGGACGGGCCGGGTCAGAGGGTACCCCACATCTACGGGACACACACACACACACACAGAGACACACGAACACACACACACGTCAGGTGGACTTGTCTCAAACACAAAGGACCAATCAGAGCGCGGCGTTCCACAGACTCCACAAGAGACTCGCTCTCTAACCACAGAGCACACTTACGACCTGCTAACAGCTGTTAGGCCACGCCCCCTCTAACAACCAGAGGCTGGGAGGACCGGGCCTACGGTCCAGTCGGTCCCTGAACACAGCGCGTCAGAGAGGACGTGTGACTCACTGAAGGTGTTCCACAGGATGTAGAGCGGCTGGACAGAGTCCTGGTGGAGCTTCAGGTTGTCCCACAACATCTGGATCAGCACGTGCTTACTGTCCTCAGACATCCAGTGACGAGGGACCTGGGGTGGGGGGGTGAAGAGAGTATGTTGTGTGCATTATTGTGTGTTTGCCGTTTGTGTATCTTCTCATTCAATGCAAATGAGAAAGTTTGTCCAACTTTTGATTGGTACTGTATGTATCATGTGTGTATGTGGTGTACATCATGTGTGCTGTGTGCACAGTGTGTCGCTTTTGTGTATTGTGTGTGCATGTTGTGTCTATTGTGTGTATGCTGTGTGCACAGTGTGTCTCTTTTGTGTATTGTGTGTGCATGTTGTGTCTATTATGTGCATGTTGTTTGCACAGTGTGTCTCTTTTGTGTATTGTGTGTGCATGTTGTGTGCAGTGTGTCTCTTTTGTGTATTGTGTGTGCATGTTGTGTCTATTGTGTGCATGTTGTGTGCAGTGTGTCTTTTGTGTATTGTGTGTGCATGTTGTGTCTATTGTGTGTATGCTGTGTGCACCGTGTGTCTCTTTTGTGTATCGTGTGTGCATGTTGTGTGCAGTGTGTCTCTTTTGTGTATTGTGTGTGCATGTTGTGTCTATTGTGTGCATGTTGTGTGCACAGTGTGTCTTTTGTGTATTGTGTGTGCATGTTGTGTTGCACAGTGTGTCTTTTGTGTATTGTGTGTGCATGTTGTGTGCATTGTGTCTTTTGTTTATTGTGTGTGCATGTTGTGTCTATTGTGTGCATGTTGTGTGCACAGTGTGTCTTTTGTGTATTGTGTGTGCATGTTGTGTGCAGTGTGTCTCTTTTGTGTATTGTGTGTGCATGTTGTGTCTATTGTGTGCATGTTGTGTGCCCAGTGTGTCTCTTTTGTGTATTGTGTGTGCATGTTGTGTCTATTGTGTGTATGCTGTGTGCACAGTGTGTCTCTTGTGTATTGTGTGTGCATGTTGTGTGCACAGTGTGTCTCTTGTGTATTGTGTGTGCATGTTGTGTGCACAGTGTGTCTCTTGTGTATTGTGGGTGCATGTTGTGTGCACAGTGTGTCTCTTGTGTATTGTGTGTGCATGTTGTGTGCACAGTGTGTCTCTTGTGTATTGTGTGTGCATGTTGTGTGCACAGTGTGTCTCTTGTGTATTGTGGGTGCATGTTTTGTCTATTGTGTGCATGTTGTGTGCACAGTGTGTCTCTTGTGTAATGTGGGTGCCTGTTGTGTGCACAGTGTGTCTCTTGTGTATTGTGTGTGCATGTTGTGTGCACAGTGTGTCTCTTGTGTATTGTTGGTGCATGTTGTGTGCACAGTGTGTCTCTTGTATGTTGTGGGTGCATGTTGTGTGCACAGTGTGTCTCTTGTATGTTGTGTGTGCATTGCGTGTATGTTGCGTGCGCTCTCACCTGTGAGTCCCTGTTGCAGTGCTCTGAGGTGAGCATGAGGCCCGGCAGGTTGCTGGGCAGGTCCAGCCTCCTGAAGTACCAGACCAGGTTCCAGTAGATGATGGGGTGCTGGTCCACCACGTCAGCCTCTGTGATCACCGGGTCGCCCTCGTTCTCCAGCAGGCTCTCGAGCTCCTTCCACAGCACCAGCGGGCTCAGGTAGGGCACCGTCACCGGCTCAGGGTGGTGCAGCCGCCACTCCATGTTCAGAGGGTCCTACGGTGGATTTACAGCTCAACTGGTTAAAGTGAACTATTTATTTGTCGTGAGATTATAAATGATAAACTTTTTTAACGAGATGTAGTTGTGTTCACACACGATGCGTTCAGGGACCCTCTGCTTTGATAAACACTGTAGTTCTGCAGATTGTTTTGGGGTTCAGAGGTCAAACCCATGGCTGCTAATAACATAAATAAATAAAGCTGTGACCCGTTTCCTTGTTGCCATGGCGACAGTAAAGAGGTCCGTACCGTGGTGTCGTTCAGGCGGCTGGGCAGGCTGCCCGACGTGGGCACGCCGCGGTGGAGGCGTGGCGGCTCGTCCAGAGGGCCGAAGGCGCTGATGCTGCGAGCCATCGGGGCCCCGGGGGCCGGGGAGGGGCCGCTGATGCCCTGAGCTCTGCTGGGTCGGGTCCTGTGAAGATTCACATTCATTGCTTTTTAAGATTTAAATATGTTCTAATCTTCACTGTTGGGAAAAAAAAGAAGCACCAGCAAATGTTTTAAGGGTCTGAATCATTTCAAGTGGGAACATTTTTTAAATTTTATTTTGCATTTGCACCAAAACACAATAATTACCAAATAACATGATGGGACTTTGCTTTTGAGTAAAATGTGTTTCAGTCTGAAGAACAGACATTAAAAGTGTGATCAAGAGGTTTCAGGGTCTCAGGTTGAGAAACTCGCACACAGATGAAGGAAAAGACGTTTACAGGAAACATCAAAAAGATTCTTTCGGAATTTTCACTATTTAATCATAATAATAAAACTCTGAAAGAGGTTGTTGCAGATAACTAAATGAAGTACCGTCTGCTCCCCGGACCCTCGGGGGACGGGGGGAAGACGGCTGTGGTGGGACACGGGGTGGACAGGGTGGAGGCGCCGGTGTCCGGACCCGTGGAGGCGGAGCACGACGAGGTCACGGCCTCCTCCACCGACGAGCTTCCCTTCAGGAAGAGCCTGCGGAGGAGCGGAGGTTATCACCAGGCGCTGCACACGGGGGCCACACGGGGCCACACGGGGGCCGAGGACCCGAGCGACTGCGGTACCTGCCGGGTCCCCTCAGGTCCCGGATCTCCACGTTGAGGAAGGGCAGGAAGGGGTTCCCACAGAAGGGACAGGTGGTGTTCAGGTTGGAGTCGTCCGCCGTCCAGCCGGCCATGATCTCCTCGTCGTACACCAGGCAGTCGCACGTCTTACAGCGAGAGCAGCTGGAGATCAGCAGCTGGACGGGGGGGGAAACATATTCGGCTAAAGAAATAAATGGATAAAACTACAGTTTCTGTTTCCCCGTCTTTGACCTCCGGGACGTCTCCACCAGGGGTGGGATTTACCTCCATGGCGTAGCTGTTGAAGATGCTGGTGTTGCTGGTGTAGTGGGAGGAGCCGAGGTCCGACTTGTCCGTCAGAGGAAAGCCGGGAGGCGAGAGGACGCATCCTGCAGGAGACATGAGAGATGAGACATGTCCCTCGGCGACGTGTCGCGTCCTCAAGGTGACCCACCAGGGAGCAGCGATGAGGGGCTGTCCAGCCCGCTGCGTCGGGGGCTCCTCCTGCGGGGCCCCGGGGGGCCGTTCCTCTGCGGAGAGATGACGGAGCCCCCGCGGTCCTCCTCATCCAGCGGGGAGGAGCGGTCCGGATCCCCAAACCCGAGGGAGGAGACGCTGAGGCGGTCGCTGTGAGCGTCCTGGAGGGAGAGGGGGGGGGGGGTCACACGATAAGATGAATCTATGACTACCTATGACCTCTGACCTATCCTCGGCCCCCTACCTTGGTGGGCGTGGTGTACGTGGACAGGCGCGAGTACCAGCGGCTCGCCTTCTCCGCCACGCCCTTCCCCGCCGAGAACACGCTGGTTTTGAACACGTCGAGCGACGGCGTGAGCAGGGTCTCCAGCGCGAAGGAGGAGGAGGAGGAGGACGATGGCGACGCCAGGCTGCCCCGGTCCGCCCGGTCCCTGCGGGGGCTGGGCCGGGGGCTGGCGCTGGGCGTGGTGTTGCCGGAGCTGCGGCAGGACGGCGAGGACAGCAGGCGCTGGCGCGGCACGGGCCGGGAGGGCGAGGGCGGGTGGAAGGTGCGCGAGCGCGTCACCCCGGCGGCCCTGAGGGGGGAGCCGTGGGGCAGGCTGGCCCTGCGGGGGCCCGCCGGCGGCGGCAGCGGCGGGGCCGGGGGGAGGAGCAGCGGGCCGCCGTAGTCCTGCAGGTCCAGGCTTGGCGTGCGGCTGCTCAGCGGGCTGCCCATGTGGTTCATGTAGAGCTCGATCTCCCGGGCCAGGTGCCCGCGGGCGCTCGGCGTGCCGACCTCGGCCCCCCCCGGGTACCGGTCCTCGTCCTCGTCGGGCCGGGACTCCGCCGCCAGCAGGGACAGCGGGTCGTAGCCCGCCCGGATATCCGTGCGCTTCACGCTGCGCTCCACCACCTTCGTGTGCGATCTGCTCCGCCCCCCTGTGGGGTTTTTTTCCGAATCCAGGTCCTCGAGGTCAAAAATGGCGTCCGCGTTGCCCCTGTCCTCGTCGCTGGAGTCCCGCCCCTCCTCGTCCCCCTCCCTGCAGGCCGCCCAGCCCAGAGCCAGCGAGCGAGGCCTCTCGCTGAAGGTGGCGGCGGAGAGGATCTTAACGTCGGCGCCGAGGTGCCCCGCGATCTTGTCCGGGTCGGTCTCCCCCCGGCTCATGCCGAGGCCCAGGACGCCGCCGCCTGCCGAGCCCCCGCCCACCACGTCCTCCAGAGCGCTCTTGTGTCTCCTCAGCAGGCTGCGGGTTCGAACCTCGCCGATCTCCTCCAGGGAGGAGGTGAAGAGGAGACCCGCCACGTGGTCTGTGAGGGGGGAGGAGGGGGAAGAGGGGGGAGGGAGGAGTTCAAGAAGTAAACAACACGATCATCCGACGAAGCTGCTTAAGGAAGTTTTTCCTTTAGTCAACACGTCTTTACTGGACATGATGTCCTTGTTGACACCGTCCTTCAACGCAGCTGTAATCAAACCTCTTAGACGTTTTCTCCCCATGAAGCTTCTCATCTCTCTGGGGAGTTTTTCCTGTGACGATGTGAGCGTCTCAGCACAGAGGATGTCGCGTGTGTACAGACTGTAAAGCCCTCCGACGCAAATTTGTAATTTGCGATTTTTGGCCACAAAATCAAATGAGTTGATTTGAACAGCTGGAATACTTGTGGCAGAAAACAAAGAAAAAGGCGATAGAGGTGAAATAAAGTGGGTTTCATGAGAAGCTGCTGATGTGGACGGACGGCTGTAATCAAATAAAACAGAAGACGACGACTAAAGAAGAGGGACTGAAACACACTCATTTAACACTGACAAACAGTAAAAGTGTTTCCATAATCAATGAAGTCCTTCAACTCTTTTTCAACGAATGCAAAAAAACAAACATCTCAAGCGTCAAAACTTTTAAAGAAATGTGGAATCAGCTTCACTAATACGATGACTGGAAGAGGAAAGGCGGCTCCGCTCTAGTGACGCAGAGCCGGTCGGATCGCAGTTGGGTATTTAGCAACATGGACCCCCCCCCCCCCCCCTCCTCTCCTCCTCATCATCATCCTCATCCTCATGCAAATTTCATGTAACGTTAAATGAGTATCTGTCCCCTGGTGCTCTCTGTCCACGGCTGGAAACACGGAGCTGACAGCGGCCCGGTTATCAAGACATCGGCCAAATGACCCGTTTCAGACTTTATGATGAAACACAGAATCCCTTTGTGTTCATTTCTAAAGCCGCTTTGAGACACACGTCACTTTATTTAAGACGCTGCGCTGATTGCAGGTCTCTGTGTCGTGCCAGATTCTCAATTGAGTTAGAAAAAACGTGTACGGCAAACCCGCGGTGATGAAGATCCTCATTTTATTCCTTTATTTTCATCGTTACACGGAATCTGCATGTCGCTAAATACCCAACTCAGATCGCCTCGTGCGTTCTGAGAAGGGATCCGACCACTCGGCGCTACTGTAAACACGACTCTTTGTGAAGAGGAGGCCCAGATAAAGTCACGTTTTATATCTCAGTTTCCATGGCAACGGGGCTCGTCGGCGGCGGTGGTGGTGCAGGCGGACGTCCCTCCTCACCTGCGCTGGAGGAGCCCTTGGTTTGGCAGGAGGCGTCGCCGTAGGGACAGCTGCTGCGTACGATGCCGCGGGGTCTGAAGGAGGAGTGGAGCTCCGTGTCCGGCTGGGGGAGGAGGTCCTTGCTCCCCTTGGTGCTGTCCGACTCCGACACTGAAACAACGAGAGCATCGTTCAAATAAGAGCCGCGTCTTGACGCTCCGCCCACGGCGAGGAACTCTACATAAAAGTAAAGCAACACTGTGAAACTACTCCAGTCGATTTGTTACTCTTGCAAATTGTGTAATAGAATGTTTAAATGTAACATGAGGAGTTATCTTCTTAAATGTGGTCCACAAGTCAAATGTGAACGTTGAAGTAAAGTTAGGAATATAGAATCAAATAGATTGAGTTTTATCTCCTTGAAGGATAACATGACTGAAAACGCTTTGATGTTGAGAATCCTCAGAGAATGAATCCTCTGCGGAGGAGAGAGATGAAGGAGGAGGAAGAGGAGGAGGGATGGTGTTTCTAAGAAGGTTCAGTAGACACGAGAGAACTGACGGGAGCTGCAGTCGCTCTCCTTCTTGGTGTCCGGAGCTCCTCGCCGGACCTCCTCTTTGGACAGAGAGTTGTAGCCCAGATCCGATTGGTCCCCTGGAGGGAGAGAGAGAAGAACAGGAGGAGTCAGACGAGAGGGACGCACGTCTCTAGATGTTAAACCCCATGACGAGCCGGGCAGAGGAAGAGGAGCAGGAACGAGACGCTCCTTCCTCCCATGATCCTTAATGACCTTTATTTCAATCTAAATTCTTGTTTTGACACCAAAACGAAGAAAACATTTGGACTTCAAGTTAACTGAAAACTTTTCAACATCTGATCAATATCTGATCTTCACGAAGGTTAAAACGACTGAAATGTGACTCAAATCACGAGAAAGATTCGTATTTAAAGACTAAAACTAAACGACAAAAACCACACGAGGGAAAAGGGGGCGGGGCCTCCGGGGATCACTCCGGAGGGAGGAGGCGGCAAAGAGGCCCCCGGAGGTGAGACACGCAGACAGACAGGAGGAGAGCATTACCTGGGTGGGGGGGGGCTCCTCCGGGCTCCCATCCCCCCCGCCGTGCATGAACCACGCAGCCGCCCCCGCGTGCCGCTGCATGCAAGCAGTGAGTGATGAAACAAAGAGAAGGGACAATGATGGAAAAGAGGAGGAAGCGAGGAAGACGCCGGTCGGTGGGCGGAGGAGGTGGGACACAGAGACGGCGTGGAACAAGATGGCCGCCGGGGGGGGGGTTGGCGGGTACCTGTGCTGGATCTGTCGTCGGCGGGGTCGACCCGGGCCAGGGGGGCGTCGGCGGAGATCTCCAAGCTGGCCTGACTCACGGCGTCCAGGTCGCTGCCATCTGCCCGGAAACAACAAGACGTTACAGGGAAGCTCCTCCTCTCTGCGCCCCCCCCTTCCCCCCCCACACACACACACCATTAAAGCTTCCTACTCAAACCAGCTTTAATACACCTTTACTTGTGTATTAACCAGCTGCATCACCGTGTGGCACGGCAGCACATCCACCGTGGACCACAAACGCCTGCAGAGAGTGGTGAGGACGGCAGAAAAGACCCCACTGCTCTCCCTGCAGAGCATCTACCACCGCGGGGTTCACAGGAGAGATGCCTCCATTCTTAAAGACCCCCCCCACCCCCCCCACCCCCAACATGGTCTGTTCACGCGTCTACCCTCAGGCAGGAGGTACAGAAGTGCCAAATGCAGGACCACCAGACTGAAAAACTCTTTTTTCCCCACTGCCATTAGAGCCGCTGAGAGGACTCCAACTGCTCTGCACAGCTTGTTAGGATTCACTGTTACTGTACTGTTCATTTATATTGCACACATTTAATTTAAGTTTTTTTTTTACAACATGCTCAGTCTTGCACTTTTCCCCTTACCTCATCTCTGCCTTATTTTTATTTTATTTCATGTGTATTTATGTAAATATTGTATTTTTTTTTCTATTATATTATTTTATGGTCGGCTTTCCAGAAAAGGCAAGCACAATAATTTCAATACACAGGGCGTGTGTAACTGACAATAAAAATCTCAAACAGGAAAAAAGTGGTTAATATTTAAACCAGCGGTACCTGACAAAGGATTCTGGGTAATCGGAGCATGGCGACGTAGTGCCCGCTTGAACTGAGCCACGCCCAGAACCACATTCCTCAGCTTCATCCACAGGAAGTAGCCTCCCCTGGTTCTGGAGGGCCACGTGCTCTCCAACACTGCCTGCACGCCAGGAGGAGGAGGAGTTATCAGCAGTGATGAACACATGAAACTCCTCTTTCCTCTCCTCGCCGTTTGAATAATTAATACAATCAAAATGTAACAGACACAAAACATAATTAAGATTCTGATCATCGAGAAACACAATTCATAATGTGGAATAATAAAACTTCACGATCTGAGAGACTAAAATTGAATAAATAAAAGAACCACTGTAACGTTGTCCCTGCTTACGAACATGGTTTTAGTTAAAGTGACGTGTGTTAGGAAGATGGATCATCGGAGCGCTGACATCACTACTGCTTAACTGCTCCACGCAGGCTGAGCTTCACAAACAGAAGCTGCCAGCGGCCTTCAAGCTGCAAATATCTCAACCGCCGCTGACTTTTAACCGTGGAGCTTCAGGTTGTGTCTCTGCACTCAGTTCAGGAGGAATTTTAGTCTTGTGGATTTATGCATATAAAGGACAAACGAGGAACATCACTGCAGCACATTTGATCCTTTACCACTTGGGCATTAACAGAGCAGCACTCCACCTTGTTGTAGTAGCCGTAGGTGATGGCGTTGGGGTGCACGCCGGCCTTCTTCATCTCAAAGAGGACCCGCACTGCCAGGACGGGCTGTCCATACTGTCCACACAGCTGCATCAGCACCCGGTAGCAGACCTGCACACAACACGCGCATGAGCGTCGCGGTAGAAGAGGACGATGAAACAGTGCAGCGGCGTTGGATCACGGGGGGGGGGGGGGGGGGGGGGCGTGCACCTCGTCGGGGGGCTGCAGCTTCTTGGCCTGCATCTTCCGCAGGACGTCGTACGCCGTGCGGAGCGCCCGCACCTTGGAGTGGCAGACCTGGACGTAGGCCGGCAGGCAGATGAACCACAGGCCGTAGCAGTGGCGCAGGAGGCACTTGGACCACAGCTGGGGTACGGAGGAGTACTTCCTGGCTATCTTCTGGGCTGATTTGATCTCCTGTGGAGGCAGCGGGGGGGGGGGGGGGGGGGGGGGGGTAACAGGGTGCTCCACAGCAAGACAGTGGATGATGGTGTGAGACTGACCTGCTTCGTACGTCTGAACATGGGGGCGGGGCTTGTGGGGCAGCTGTGCCTGGCGGCGAGGCGGGAGGTGGGGGTCCTGAGGCCCTCCAGGGGGTCGAACAGGTCCAGACTCAACACGGGGAAACCGTCGTACCTTGAGGAACGTGTACGGTATGAAAGTATCACACCAATTGGCCAAAAGTACAAGGTTCACCTTGGAGGTGCGGTGAAGCAGTAACCGTGGTTACCTGTAACAGAGAGGGTGCTCCGCCCCCTCGGGGAGTGGGGGCAGCTCGGGGGGCGTGATGAACACGGTGTGCTCGCTGCGCTGGGACTCGTCGGTCTCGATCAGGCGGCTCTCCTCTGCTCGCTCGCCCTCCGCCTGCAGAGCGGGCAGAGGCGTTAGGGCGGAGGCACCGCCACCCTCCGTCCTCACAGCTCCCTCTTTAGCCGCAGTCCAAACCCGCCCGCGACTCAGCCGGCGAGCACGCTGCCCTCTTCTCCCATCTGGCGTTCAGTATACTCACGCAATGAGCCCGTTGGACAGATTACGTGTGATTATTAATCGTTGTATTCATTGCATTGAGGATTTGGCGTCACTGCTCTCAGAAAGGGCGAGTAGAGGCACCCGAAGGGAAGGAGAGTAAGCGTGAGCTGAAAGCGTGGGAGGGTTACGGTTGGACCGTTGGACCGGTGGTGAACCGTCGCTGCGGTTTGTTGGCTCTGCTGAGGATCTATTTTTCGGACTGTGTTATTTGTCTCCGTAAGAGTAGATATTTGGCGATATTTGGTAGATATCTGGCGAGAGCTCTGGTAAACTATTCTTTCTTCATTTCAACGTGTGGTCCTGGTCAGTCATTTTAACTACGTATGGGGTGAGAAAGAAAGAATTGAACCTAAACCTCTTTCGCCACTTAGGAATCTAGGAAAAACAGAGGTTGGGGGCTGCTACAATTAACATGAATATTTCTTTAGAAGAATACACCTTGAGAGCCACATGGATTCATTCAGAAGAGACTTTATTAAACGGAGCCGAGGAAGCAGATGCCTCCTGATGTGCTTCAAAGTGACATCCAGGACCCCGCACAGGCTTCAGAAGCCCCTGAGGCGTTAAAAGCCTCTGGTCATGAAACATTCAGGGCTCACACATTTCATTTGGGATCAAGCACCCCCCCACGTACCTTTCCTCCTTTGTCTCCACTCCGCTCTGAGTTGTAAAGCTGCTCGTAAACAGAAGCAAAAAGAAGGGAAACAGAAAAGGGAAAACTGAAGTTAAAACAGAAACCATTGAACTACATCAGAGGCTAAGCCCCGCCCCTTCTGCTGGACGGCAATGGGACCGTATTTTGGAAATAAAATGCCCGGCGAGAAACATAGAACCGTGAGATCCTGTTTGAATAGAGCGACAGGACTGTTGGCTGATAGGAATAAGTACTGAGACACAATACACTCGTTAAAAACACATCAGGTAATAAAGCCACGGTGACGGTAAAGGCTGATTGACAGGCCTCTAATAGACCATAAAGTAGGGGATGCTTTAGGGCGGGGCTACCCGCTGATTGACAGGTCTCTACCAGAGACGTAGACAATGGCTGCGCTGGAACAGTCCTTTCTTCTTCAGAAGGTTCCTCACTGAGTGAAGTGAACTAGTGGAAACGGCCGCCATGATAAGGAAAGGAGCCTCAATGCTTCCTTAGCTCCTATAGCATAGGAACCATTGGACCATCCTTTACAAAAGGAAATGAGATCATTCCGTCCCACAATTCCTAGCAGCGCCGATATTAAAATAGTGACGCATCATTGGTCCGTTCAGGAACATCGATCATGACGTAGAAACGCAGATCATGTGAGTAACCGTCATTTATGTTAATAAACATAATTTATGTTAATAAAGTTTTCCTTTGAACCGGGTTGTTTGTGTGTCCGCACAGTGTGACTCACACTAACAACACGTGAAGCATCCGAGACGCTTCTTTGTAGCCGCTGCAGACTGACGTCACCATCACAACAACACAACCGTGTCCTTTCCTAACTCCTCATCCACTCTCCTAACCACCTTCCCTTGACCCTGTGACGTTTTCCACAGAGATCACTGAATAGAGGAAGGACATTTTTTTATGCCCTCATATGGTCACTAGTTGCAAAAAAAAGATGCATTTTTTCTTGCATAACCAAACAGACTTTCAGGACTTGTGATCTTGATCTTTTAAACTGACAGACATTTGTGTTATTTGTACTGCAAAAGACTAAGACGCCTTTGAAATAACATGGAAATACCTACAATAATCCTAATAATATTTTTTAAAAGAACAGCGTACTTTGTCCACGCAGTCGTCGAAGAAGGCCAGGCTGGCGTCCTTGTCGCTGACGAAGGAGCACTCCTCAATAAAGCGGATGAACATCTGGGTTTTGGTCATCAGCGAGTAGAACTTCTGGTGTGAGCGGTCGCGGCTCTTCAGGAACCCTGAGGAGTGATTTATAGAACATATCACAACATCCCCCATTACACGGGGAACCCTTTATCCTACTGAGAGCTTTGCTTATTTAAATATGTATAACAGCTGGTTAAGATTGCAATGCTTTATATCAAAATATCATGCATATGCAAAATGAAGACGAGCTGGCGACGAGCGACCTGCATCCAGGTACCTTGCAGGTCAAAGAGCGAGCTGGCGTCCGTGGCCTTCTCCGAGGGCGCCTGGGTGATGGGCCGCAGGAAGGAGCGGTAGCCTTTCAAGATGGCCGCCATGAAGCGCAGGAAGGCCTCCTGGATCTCCAGCTCCAGCGCCTGGAGGCTCTTCCCACAGCTCAGCTCCGAGGAGGCGCTCACGCTGAGCTCCAGCTGCCCGTCGCAGCGCTGCTGACCTGCAGACGGATCAAAGTCATTACTTCTGCAGGGAGTCCGTGACGCGTACCGATGTCCTGATACCAGAGGAGGCTTCAGCCTGCAAAGATATCGGAATATTACAGTAAGTCATTTGTCTTTACCCACATTATACCCACGATTCATCAGAAATCATCCTGGATAAATGCTTCATGAAATGCATTCTGAAGTCTCGATAGGAGGATATGAATCAAGAGGACGAATAGTTTACATTATTATAATAATAAAGTCAATAAAGAGTTTGAAATGTCTCAGCATTAAATATCAATATTCATCACTGGATGGAATTTCAACTTCACTGAATCAGATGATTGATTTTATTCCGTTTCTGTTCAATGATTCATGGGATTATTATTAAGGTAAAGACGGAACCATCCAAAAAGCTGACAATGATGAATGAATGAATGGGAATACTTACCAGGTACAAGTCTGAGGTACTATTTAAGGAAACTCTATACTTCTCTACTGATGTTCTATTGAAGTACACTGCAGTCTAACTAATCAATGGCAACAACACGTGTCCGTCCTCCGACTCGTGTCATTAAGCCGTCACTGGAAAATGGGTTCTGGTTTTATCTGTTTAAGTTCTGTAGCATGTGGGTCGATACATTTGTCCCTTTGTTGTTTCCATCATACGAACGGCAGGTAACTATCCCTGTTTGAGAATGTTTTACTTTTATACTTTAAGTAGTTTTGAAACCAGTACTTCTTTAGCTTAAGTTGATACTTTAACTGCTACTAAGTTATTTTATTTTAGTATCTATACGTAATGCATGTGAAGACTTTTGACACCTCTGACGATGAGTACATTTGTCTGATACTGTGGTAACACCATATCTCTACAGGAAGAGGAGATGCTTCCTTTCAGAATCAAAGAAGCATGGAGGACGTCCTCCTGAGAGAACGTTCAGTCCATAAGCTCACCGTCCACCAGCTGCTGGTAGAGAAGGTTCAGCACGTTCATCAGGTTCTTACAGGCCTTCTTGGGCAGGATCTTCCACGTGAGGGCTCGCTTGTCTTCATTGCTGGAAAGGCAGAAGCACACGGTGAGCTCCCCCCCCCTATTACAGGGACTCCAGGTCGACCCCGGGAGCTCATGAGTCGGCAGCTCTATGGTGCGTGTGCGTCGGGCTCACTGGAAGATGGTGCTGGTGTCCAGGTCCACGCAGCTCACGTCAGGCGGGGGGTCATACAGGTCAAAGTAGCGGGAGTCCACTCCAACAATGAAGGGACAGGGGGCGCTCAACACGTCTGCCAACGCCAGCGGGCACAGAGGAATGTAGGGGCAGGGCCAGTGGAACGGGAAGATCATCTGGGGGGGCGGCAGAATTTACCACCGAGACGTTACAGAGAGAAGAGCCAGATGGGAGGTCGCAGTCACTGTGACCTTCGACCTCTCAGCAGCACAATCCCATGAGCTCTTTGAAAGGGACTCCCTGCAGGTGTTCCTGTGATACCAGCGAAGGGGGGGGGGGGACTCACGGACACCAGGGCCTCGGTGACGCTGGTCAGGACGGCGGGCCGCAGCGAGTGGACCAGGATCTTGTGCTCGGTGACGGCGAACACCAGCAGGGTGACGGCGTTCTCCGGGCCCAGGTTCTGCAGCAGCATGGAAAACCGGCCGCCGCTGCAGAGGAAACGCTCGGCACTCAAGATCTACTTTACGTCTTTACGAGACATACGACACCAAAAAGGGAGTCCGAGCCGACGGTCCTTGATCACATGTGACCAACGCTTTGCTCAGAGAATAAATAGAACATCAAATTCTGATATTTCATTTACAAAAACAAACATTTTATTCTACATTTCTCCTTTAAATAAACTGTTTACTTTGACCAAAATCCGGTAAGAGATTAAATTCTGATCTCCTGACTGAAACACATGAGGATTTATCTGAGACGTCAAATCACAGAAACTTTATTAAAAGGAAATGAACGCTGTATTGGCGAGTAGATTGAACAGCTGATCCTCAGTCTCAGTAGTTTCTTTTCTTTCTACGGTTATTCATCATTCAACGGCGCGTCTCAGTGTGTTTGTCCTTGAAGAAACAGAATAAAATCTCCCACATAAGTTCCTTTAACTATCTCTCCTCTTCTTGTTCAACTGCTACTCTTTGCATCTCCTGGGCCCGGTTTTTCAAAAGTAATCCACTAGGATTTTGGATAACGGATTGGATAAAAAAAAAAAACGGATTACAAAATCGGATTAGATCACGTGATCCCATATTGGTTTTGATCCGGATCAAACCTTTAGTTTGGGTTTTTCAGAACTTTTTTTGTAGGATTTGGATCACTTTGATCCAAAAAATCTGGATTAAACTGATCCCATCAGAAGGGTGGATTCAGCGTGGATTTCATGCCCAAAATGTAATGAAAACTTTAAAAATGTATCAAATAATACTATATTTGGATCATGCAGTATCTTACAAGATATCCTATTTATTCATAAGGTTTTAATTTTATTTGTTCATCCGTCAGGCTACAGTGATTAGGTAGGCTTTAACGTAGTCAGCCTTTCAGTATAGACCTACAGCAAAGTAGAGTGTGGTCTCATAAAATAATCCCCCAAACAGCTGTCAAAATTGACCAAAAACAATACATTTTATTCTGTCACTAATTGACATATATATTCATCACAATCGAAAATATTTTAGTTTTTAGAATATTTATTAGTGATGCGTGCAATGATTACAGAATAACCAAAAAAAATGCAGAGAATGGCAATCACTGATTTTTGAAATCCAAAACAAATCCAAATCAGAAATAGTGTCTAACTATTGCGTCCCTTGTTGCTCGTCCTGTTTGCTGACTGACTCTGACCAAACTGCAGCAAACCAAGGCCAGACTTGAGATCCGCCTCCTAAAGGCTACGCTCAGACAAGCTGGTCTCTCCACATCAGATCAGGAAGTCTGAAATTATTGGAGTATTTTACATTAAGTCTTTTTTTTTAATTCAATACATCTATATTTGAAACTTGTTATAAATATCCTCAATGTACAGTGTTTGTGTTGTAGGTCTCGGATGAGCGGACTGCTGGAGGAGGATGGAGTCTGTTTTTCTTGGTTTTAGTTTTTTTAAATGTGTTTGTTTTCGTTTCAAAATAAAAATAAACTTATATTGACACCACACTGGCTATTCTACTGGTTGCTCTTTACATATCTATAGTTCTACATTGTGATTTCCTATCCTGTTTGAGCGCTGGTTATCCAGATTTGGTGATCCTGAAAAGTTCCTATCCAGATCAGATTGATCCAATCCGATGTTGCTTTGAAAAACTGTCTCAAAAGTAAACTGGATTACGTGATCACGGATCGCAAGAAAAAGGATTACTAAATCCGGATCAATTTGACCGGGCACAGATGCTGAACCACTGAAAGCATTTTGAAATGCATGATTCCTCCCCACGGGGGGGGGGGTGCAGGTGTGCAGCCGCTCTCACCTGAGTGGCAGAGGAGACGACACCGGCTGGCTGAGCATCAGGCTGTCGTGAGGAGAGAGCTGCAGAGCGAGAGGAGATCGTTTAAACGTGGAGGACGATGTGCACGAACAACAAATACTCGTTTCCAACGCGACTCACCTGCACCAGAATGCGAGGCCTCTGAGAGGAAGGGAAGGGAACTTTGTGCATGAAATGACAGATGTGCCTGCAATAAGAAAAGAGACGGTGGGATGTGAGGCCAAAAATAACAGCAGCTGTTGGAGAATAATCTGGTAAGATTCAGTATCCTTCGGCTTTTCTTTCACTAATCACCTGCGTTATTAATTACTACGTGGCTTGTTATAGATAAGATAATGCTTTATTACAGATTATTGCAGAGTTTCGTAGCAGCAAAATGAAAAAACACATAAAAACACCAAAGTTCTCTTTTTAGGGTTTGTTCCATAAAGAACCGTCCAATCACAGGGCTTCAAACCGTCGGATTAGCACCTCATGCGTGCTCATTAATCAAGCAACTCTTAGTTTACAAATTCAACAGAGAAGCATGTGACGGGCCGCTGAGGCTCAGGGGTATTTTAGGGTTTGGACAGATGTTTGGTGTCTCTCTTCCCAAATAATTCACATGGGCCTGAAAGTTCTCTGGGATTCTACGTGCAGAAGCATCGAGGACTTTAGTTAGAGAACTAAAACGCAAGTACAGAAGGTGTCAAATGAAGCAGGAGAAGTCATCGGAGCCTCAGGAGGAGGAGGAGGAGGAGGAGGAGGAGCGGTGGAGGGGGGGGCTCACTTCTCGATGGGCAGCGCGTGGGGGCCAGAGATGGAGTAGCGGTACAGGAATGTGAGGAACTTGCGGAAGGCGTCGAAGAAGGGCCAATGGGAGAGCAGGCAGATGCACTTGTTGGTGTGCACGGAGCGCGTGGGGGAGGTGGTGTTGGTGGTGTTGGTGGTGCAGGGTGGCTGTGGGTCGGGGCCCAGCAGACCCAGCTGGGAGCGCTGCTGCTCGCTCAGACACTCCTCGGGGAAGGGCTCGTAGAACTGGATGGCCGCTCCGTAGACCTGAAACATGGAACATCTCAACCTGAAGCACAACCACCACCTCTCTAGAAACACAGGGGACGGAGTCGTGTCACTTCACGGGTGGAGCTTTTTACGGTGTTTGTGAGCCTGTAATAAAATGTCCAATCAGCCTCATGTGATCGATAATAAAAATGGTTTTATTTTGTTCAAATGTTGCTCGACGTTGACCTATATATATATATAAAAATTATATATATAATGCACATTAATATATAATATATGATATGGAATAAAATACATATTTTATATTATATTTTATATAATTTACCATATTATTATTATTTTTAATAATATGAGATAAATTATATATATATAGAGTGATCCTTTATTTTATGAGATTAAAATAATCGTCATATAAAACTGTGTTTTGAAACCCTCCAACTTCCGAGTCCAAGTTAGAAAAAGGTTTTCCATGCAGAGACAATGTGCTGGTTAAAGTCAGCGTGTGTGTGTGCGTGTGCGTGTGTGTGTGCCGCCCCCCCGCTGAGATGTTTGTCAGCCATGTGAGTGAGAGAGGAGCAGACTGGTCCATCGTACCTTCTCTGCGGAGGCCCCGGTGAGGACGAAGGTGGAGAACACGGGGAGGGAGTACTTGGTGGTGGGGGGCCAGCACTCCATGGTGGCCCCCATGGGGAGGCAGAAGAGGGGGACCGACTCGGGCAGAGGGAAGGACTCGTAGTCCTCCTCCGGGTACCTGCTGAATAAACCTGGAGACGAGAAAACCAAAGACAAACCCACTGAGGACTCAGAAGACAGAGACAGAAGAGGATGGAGGCGCTCCATCTTCCCTCCACAACAACGTCAGCTCTTTAAAGCCTGAAGGTGGACTGATGGTGTCCTCTGGAGAGGCAGTGCGCCATCAATCCTTCAGGTCGTTCAGCAGCTGGTCCAAACGTCCCATGGAGACCACTTGTGAACGTAGACTTTAAATGAATGTGTGTGGTCTGTCGCTGAAGGATGGAGAAGAGACTTATTCTCACACACACACGTTTACCTGCTTTGTAGGCGATCATGTTGGTCTTGGCCACAGACTTCTTGTAGCACAGGTAGACGGAGGAGCCCCACTGGAACCAGAGCAGAAGCAATGAGACAATGAGGAACATCAGCAGCGTCTTGCTTTAAAATGAAACCCGATTGTGATGAATGATTCTGACGCGCGTCAGAAGTCTTAACAGAACGTTGTGGAGCGCTCTCACCATGCTGCTGTTGAGGTTCTTCTCCACCTTGCAGAAGGTGTGGGGGGGCGTCTCCCCCTTGCTGGGGATGATGACGCAGACGTCGGTGACGGCCAGCGCCGAGTGCGGCCGGCTCTCGGGCGCCCGGCGGTAGGTGACGTAGACGCGCTGGGAGGAGTTGCCGCTGATGTTGGCGGGCCGACCGGAGGCCGTGGTCTGGATGAGCTGGCAGCCCTGCATGAGGCGCTCCTTCCACTCGTACAGCACGCTGGGGGAGGGAGGGGGGGGGGCATTATTAATATTTAACGGCTGATTTGCGTGCCGTTGGTGATCAATGAGCTTGTGGCGAGGCAGACAGAACACCAACGTCTCAATAACCTCCAGCACTTTCACACACAACAACAACAACAACTCCTGCAGGAGGGGAAACTTCAGACTGCTGGTTGCAGGAAGTCTGGAGGCTCGTGGAGCTGCACTCAACAAGCACTGACCTGAGCAAGTCGCTACCAACCTGCATCGCTACGTGATTATTTCTGCTTCCTTTTTACCCCGTTTACTGCCGCTAACCACCTGGGAGTTGGTGATGTTTCCACGTGTGGAGTTGTGTTTGTTGGACCACCCTTCTTTCACTGTTTAACAAGACGTCACTGGCTTTTGTCATGTGGATGCTTTTATTTTGTCAACCGCTACAAAAAAACCTCCTCGTTGACTTTAGCGAGACACACACACACACACACACACACACACACACACACACACACACACACACCTAAATGTACATTTTCTCTATGTAAACTACTACCAAATTAATCTTCAAAATGATGATGTTTTTATCCAAAACCTTGAGATTAAAACCTTTTTACGTTTGTTAACCCATAAATGGTGGTGGGTGACCCCCTGCTGTGCTTGGAGTCAGTGAAAACACCAACAAGACATCACTTAGTGGACTCACAACAGCAGTGAACCCAACCATCACTGCCACCATTACTGACTTGCGTGGAGCTCCATGAGCGTTTTGTGGCACTTTTTTTTGGAGATTTTTATTTTGTCTGGTTTTCTTATCAGCCTGCAGTGCACCGCGTCCGCGTTGAACCAGAGAGACCTGAGAAACCACACTGGTTTAACGTCACATCTTAAAATCATTTGGAACGAACGTCTGCCGTGAGAAAAAGGTAACAAGCCCGTTTGTGTATTCTGAATATCTGAATCAGCGAGTTAATACTTGATTATTTAGTGAATTATGGTCCATTTGGAGTCAAACAGACCATGGAGCAGGGGAGGCTTTAGGGCGGGGCTACACCCTGATTGGCAGGTCTATTTGGTGTCTCTACGTCCTCCTCAGTGGTTACATGAACACGTTTAATGGTTGCCCAAACAAGACATGCTCCTTATATGCAGTCCGTGGTTAAAAACGTATTACTTTTCTAACTATTCCCTCTGCAGCCTGAGGAACAACTCACTATCAGCTGAGACAGAGTGGACACACACACACACACACACACACACACACTCTCACACACACACACACACACACACACACACACACACACACACACACACACTCACACAACCCCTCTGGGCTGTCGGCGCAGACCAGCTGCTGATGAGGTGTGAGCAGTTTGATAAGCTGGTCTCTCCGTGGTGTCGGAGTTTTCTCGGCCTGGTTCCCGTCCCCCTCGCGGATGTATCGTTAGAACGCTATTGTTCTCACCGAGCCTCATCACCGGGTCACTATCTTCATCCGGCGAGGAGGTCGCCGGTACTCACCCCAGGTCGGTGAGCGGCGGCTTGTCTCGGCCTCGCCTGTAGCACAGGAAGATCTGAGGCGCCATGAGGCCGCCGTTGTTGAGGTCCGCCGAGTGGCCGCCGGGCGTTTCCTCCACGCAGGTGAAGCCCGGGGGCACCTCCTCGCCCATGGAGCGGATCACCACCGCCACGTCGGTGATGGGCGCCCTCGGCGTGGCCGACTTGTGGCAGACGTCGTCAAAGTGGATCTCCTGGTCCAGCGGCTTGGACGGGTCCGTCAGACCGGCCACCACGAAGTAGTCGGCTACACGAGGCCCTTTGTCCTCCATCATGGCCCATCCCCGCCTGCTCAGTTACAGAGGGGGAGACAAAGAGGGGGGGGATTGATTTTCGTTGTGGTGGCAGGTAGGATGCTTCCTGCTCTCTTGCAATGGCAGTAAAATAAAATCGGATAGTCATAACTCCTGCCGGTGGACGGGCAAAAGAGGCGGTACAACATGAGGAAGAGGGCGGATGTTTTCGGTTTAGGTGGACGGACGGCCGCTGACTGGATGAAGCTTAAAAGTTTATTGGCTAAAGGTTGGAGGTGGAGGAATTTCTTGTTTCCTAGATTCATAAATCACCAGTTCGGTTTACTTTCAGCTCAGTGTGAGTAACACAGTAGGAGGCAATCAGATAGAGACCTGTCAATCAGGGTGTAGCCCCGCCCTAAAGCATGTTTTATGGTCTGACTCTAAATGGACCATAATTTACTAAATGAACATCATGTTGTATTGAAGACTGAGACCATAAACTCATGTTTACAATGTTTACTGAGGGAATAAATCCAGAGAGAAGTAGAGTTACTGAGGGAATAAATCAGGAGAGAAGTAGAGTCATTTCCTCATAGACGTCTATGGGAGCAGAGGAGTCGCCCCCTGCTGGTCACTACAGAGAAGTAGTCATTTCCTCATAGACGTCTATGGGAGCAGAGGAGTCGCCCCCTGCTGGTCACTACAGAGAAGTAGTCATTTCCTCATAGACGTCTATGGGAGCAGAGGAGTCGCCCCCTGCTGGTCACTACAGAGAAGTAGAGTCATTTCCTCATAGACGTCTATGGGAGCAGAGGAGTCGCCCCCTGCTGGTCACTACAGAGAAGTAGAGTCATTTCCTCATAGACGTCTATGGGAGCAGAGGAGTCGCCCCCTGCTGGTCACTACAGAGAAGTAGAGTCTTTTTCTCATAGACGTCTATGGGAGCAGAGGAGTCGCCCCCTGCTGGTCACTACAGAGAAGTAGAGTCATTTCCTCATAGACGTCTATGGGAGCAGAGGAGTCGCCCCCTGCTGGTCACTACAGAGAAGTAGAGTCTTTTTCTCATAGACGTCTATGGGAGCAGAGGAGTCGCCCCCTGCTGGTCACCACACAGAATGCAGCTTTAACTCATAAAGCTTTGACTTCACTTCATAGACTTTGCGTTGACGTTGCTTCTGTACCAACAGGTTGGGCGGAACAACTGTGCTTGAAGGTAAAGATTTGACAGTCTTTTGTTCGGGATGTTCTGAGGATGACCAGAGGACCTTTAACGGGTTCACTGGGGCTTTGAGCCTGGTTGTTTGCGGAGTTGCGACCACTGTGATTTAGGACCAGTGAGGCCAGAGTTGAGAGAACCATCCTCCATCAACATCCGGGCCAGGCGGTTCTTATACCTACAGGTGGACTCTCTAAAGCCGGGACACTGGCATCTTATCGGTGTGAGATATGACCACGCCATCCCGGCACTTGTAATGTATATAACCTTGTTTGTTGAATGAAACATGTTGAAGGGTTACATACGTTTTTGCCATCACGTCATCCACTGAGGCGGCGATGTCGTGAGGAGAAACTGGGATCTATGAAGAGCAGCTGCTGGCAGCGTGGCCACATTTGGGTTCTATTGGTGTTTCTCCCTTCTTTTTTAAAAAGGGATTTTTTTTTTTTTACTCCTTGATGTGACTTTTAGGGGATTTATATTTCAGCGGTCCTGAATTACATTTTGAGCTTCAGAGCTTTAGTAGAAATCGACTTGTAATGATTCTCCGTGTGTCATTAGAGCAGAATTCTTTGGTCGCACGCTCAGCCGCTTCGCACACAAAGATCCACTCAAAGTGTTCGAAGCTGTTTTTCTGACCTCACGTTTGGGTCTTGCTTGTCCACATAATCGTATGCAGCCGCCAGGCGCAATACACAGAGATGCATTCTGGGTCTGAGCTGGTTATGCATGCTGAGAGCTGTAGGAAATTGCAGCTGGATGTATTCGGCCAATAAGGCAACTTTTTAAACTAGAATCGCTGCCTTTGTGTCGGGCCACTGTGCAAAATGTCATAATTAACATATGAATTTATGAGATCAGTGACCTCTGACCTCCAAGTTTGACGCTTCTGGCAAATCTGAAGAAGAAATTCCCCCGAGGTGCTCCTGAGTTGTCCCAAATTACCAGAATCTGTCCCCCATCTACGATCTTCCTCTAGGTGTGAGCACAAACGATCCAATGCAGCATCGTTTGGCTGGATTATTTCACGTAAACGGCATCACTGGTGTCACATGATTCACAGCAGACCTTTGCGTTTCTTTCATACAGATCAAAGCAACGTTCATCATGTGTCGTGAACGGCGCTCGTTGGCCCTGAAGGATGCTGCTCGTGTGTCGGTGACCACTCAGAGAAAAAGGGGAGTCTTCTCCGGTCTGAAGACCCCGAGCATTGAACAGAAATCACATTTTGTATAAAAGCACAAAGAAATACTGTGGTCCCGTTCCGTCTAACGCTGGCACGTATTGTCTTAAAGCGCCTCGCTGGCTGGAGTCTTCACTCGGCTTCTGACACCCGAGCACCCGGGAAACCACGTCGATTCCGCGGGGGGAAATGAAACTTTACCCCCCCGACCAGAACCAGAGCAGAGAGGAATGTTTATGCTTACACGGCAGATTGAATATCAGAAACAGACGATTCAAACGTGTCTCAGCTTTTCGGTTTCTTTGAACACGTTCCCTTGTCGGTGACACAGATCATTTTAGTCACACTCAGACATCTCATTGCAACCACATTTTCATTTATTGTTGAGTAATCGCACTGGATGTGGTCTGTGATTCTGACCACATGCAGTGACAGAGTGTGAGGATCAGCGAGCACGCTGCTGGCTGAAACGGAAAGGAGGTGAAACAGCTGCCAGCTCCCGTCAGAGTGACGCTATGCTCGCTGGCAGCTCCTCCTATCATTTTCCTCAAAGAAGACATGAGACTGAGACCTGAGACTCGTGTGTACAGAGGGAATAAATCAGGAGAGAAGTCACATTCTCATAGACTGCTGTGGGATCAGAGGAGTCGCCCCCTGCTGGTCACTACAGAGAAAGCATCAAACATCAACTTCACTCTGCAGAACCGGAGGTTTCCGTGTCCTGGGAATAATTGGTTAAACGAATACCGACCTCTAAAAAAGGAGGCCGCACATCTGCACAGCATTCCGAGTCCAAACCACAGACTATGCTGCACTTCCTGTCCAGCAACCGGAGCGCGATGACGAACGCTGGCGTTACACCCCGGAGACGGGAGACGGGCCACGTGCTCACACCTCCCCCAGACACTCAGGAGAGGGAGGAAACACCGCGCTTCACGTCTCACAGTTTAAACTCGGCGCTGTTGTGGTTCACAGTGTGCGTGTGTGTGAGATTCTTGCATTTTCACAGGCAGCATGAAAGACAGAAACTAGTGTCGTCAACACGTTATTTTTTGCTTTACGCTTTGCAGGACAGTAAAGTACCAGACCAAGTTCCCCATTGGAACATTTTAAAAGCACACGCAAGCGATACCCTCATGAAGGAGGGCTGGAGGGACACTGGGTGTGTCGGTACCGCGGCCTCATTGACCCAGAAGGTTTGAGCATGAGACAGTTTGAGGCTTTCCTGGCACACATTGTAAGCACGGCTCACTGACTACATGCACACTCGTGTTACACTCATGTAATCATCGTGTGATGAGACGTGTGCGGTATGGTGATCCTATTCAGGCTTTAGGAGGATTGATTGTACGGAGCGCATTCTGAATATGCGTCGTAGTCATAGACTGTAAATAAAAGTGGACGTAGTCATGGCGACGGCACTCATTTATTTTCTGGACGGACGTTTTGATGCGTTTTGTTGCCATTTTGGATTTTGCCTCCAATGGTGTAAGAATGTTTCCATATTCGAAATACTGTCCAAGCAGCGTTGTAGCCCCGCGCCTTAAAGCATCCCCTTGCTTCATGGTCTAGTAGAGACCTGTCAATCAGCGTGTAGCCCCGCCCTAAAGCATCCCCTGCTTCATGGTCTAGTAGAGACCTGTCAATCAGCGTGTAGCCCCGCCCTAAAGCATCCCCTGCTTCATGGTCTAGTAGAGACCTGTCAATCAGCGTGTAGCCCCGCCCTAAAGCATCCCCTGCTTCATGGTCTAGTAGAGTCCTGTCAATCAGCGTGTAGCCCCGCCCTAAAGCATCCCCTGCTTCATGGTCTAGTAGAGACCTGTCAATCAGCGTGTAGCCCCGCCCTAAAGCATCCCCTGCTTCATGGTCTAGTAGAGACCTGTCAATCAGCGTGTAGCCCCGCCCTAAAGCATCCCCTGCTTCATGGTCTGGTAGAGACCTGTCAATCAGCGTGTAGCCCCGCCCTAAAGCATCCCCTGCTTCATGGTCTGGTAGAGACCTGTCAATCAGCGTGTAGCCCCGCCCTAAAGCATCCCCTGCTTCATGGTCTAGTAGAGACCTGTCAATCAGCGTGTAGCCCCGCCCTAAAGCGTCCCCTGCTTTATGGTCTGTTTGACTCTAAATGGACCATAATCTACTAAATGAACATCATGTTGTATTGAAGAAGACTTGAACTAGAGACTGAGACCATAAACTCATGTTTACAATGTTTACTGAGGGAATAAATCAAAAGAGAAGTAGAGTCGTTCCATCATAGACGTCTATGGGAGCAGAGGAGTCACAAAAGTAGAACAAAAGTCTACAATCCAAGAAGAAACACAGACTTCAGACATTGTCAAGCCAAAGCAAAAACTGGAATGTTGGTGCAGGTTTTCTAGAACGGTGGCTTAGTTCGTTATAGAACTCTGGTGTGCCCCCCCCGGTTGGACCAACCAAAAGAATGGCACTCATCCCTGCCATGCAGTCAGTCCGCTAAAAATACAACGCACCCTCTGGCCCACGACACACAAGGACCACATACATATATTATATATTTACTTAGCAGCATATGTGGGACAATCCTGAACCCCTTTAAAATCAAACCGCCTAATTTTCACCAGAGGAGAAGAAATCCTCAGCGTGAGAAATGGATTTCACACTTTCACTTCTTTTA